GGTGACACTGTGAAGAGTTGGTCCCCTCTTCCCTTGCAGGATTAAGTCAGCATTTCGGGGGCAGTATGTGTCTCGAGAGGCCGTGTCCTGCCCCTACTTAGCCCTATTCATCTGGGCGGCTCTGGCAAACCAGTTGGTCTCTCTGGGCTCTAATTCCCTCACCTGGGAGATGGGGATAATAACCCTGCTTCAGATGATTGGGAGGGCTACATGGAAGAGCCCATTCCTCAGCACCTGGCCCTGGAAAGGCAGCTCGTGGGGACATTCCGCCCTCGGCCTCCTCCTCGGGACAATTAGGAGGTTGGACCCAGTATCCTGAAGGGGCCCTGAGGTGCTATCCCAGCCCCTCCTCCCTGTCTTCTCAGTGAGCCTCTCTGTCTGTCTGCCCTGAACGCCCCCACAGTGGGTGTCCAGTCCTGTTTGCCCAGACTAGCTCAGCCTCCAATTGTCTCCAGGGCAAAGCCTCTGAGCTGGTTGGCCCGAAATCTTTTTATAAATATTCCGTGGGAAACTGTTCTTCTTGGTTTTGTAAAGTAGGCCTTGGGTCTGCTTTGCAATTCCAAAGCCATCTCCCATGGAGGTGGACCCGGAGGCAGGCCTGCCACCCATTGCCCAAGGCTGGCCTGCTTCCTCCTGACTTAATCAGGGGGCAATGGGTTCATTTCCCAAACACCTAGTGTGCCCCAGGCCTAGTGCGCCCCAGGCCTGCAGAAAGGAGCCAGCTGAGGCCCTGTCATCTGCATCCACACCACGCAGCCGGTGTGGGTGGGTAAATACAATTCTTTACACACACACACACACACACACACACACACAAACATTCTTCTAGTGTTCCTTGTGACCAATAAACTGCTTACCTTTTCCAAAGTGTTACTGAATTCACAACAGCTTTAGTCACTCAGTGTTTTCTCAATGGATGTTATAATGACAGCAATTGTCATATGATACCCAGGGGCATTTGTGTGCGTGTACGTGTGTGTGTGTGTGTGTGTGTGTTAAGTAGGTCCCTCATTCTTGAAAACATTGGGATCTGCTGATGTAGTTCAATATCCCGGACTTACAGGTGGGGCCACTGAGGCCCGGGGAGAGGAAGGGACTTGTCCCAAACCTCAAGGGCAGGGTCCACTCCAGGTTTCAAGCCGCCGGGAGCCTGGTTCTCGAATCTGGGCCCGGGGCCCTGGGTAAAATGATCTTGGGAGATCCTGGCTCATCAGGAGCCAGGTGCGGCAGCTCGGCTGGAGGCAGGAGCTGTGGGCTGGTAGGCAACCGAATCAGCGAGGTACTAACGCCGCCCCGCCCCACCTCCTCCCTGCCCTCCTTCCGCAGATGGCCTGGCCACATCGCCATTGACCTCTGCTGTTTAAACTACCGCCTCTCACAGTCTTCCAGAGAATTGCTCCCACCTGCTCCCAGTCACAGTCCTTCCGGGCGATGCCAACCTGCCAGGCCTGCTGGGTTGCTAAAGATCAGTGCCCCCTGCGCTGCCCCATCGTGGTCCATCAGGCCCTCCTAGGGCTCGGTCCTGCACCTTCTTTTCTTTTCTCTTTTTAACTTCAAAACCTCGACAAGTAAACTTTAATAAGCAGAAGTCACTGTCTTATTCTCCCAGCAATGAACAATTCCATCCTTTAAAAGTAAATAAGGGCTAAAACCAGAGGGTACGGGGTTGATCTGGCCTCTGCCCAAATCCGAGTGGCCAGTGGACTTAGGAGAAGGAGGCCACGCACGGAGGCTGCAGGGAGGTGCATGGAGGGCTGCCAGGCCACAGGAGGACAAGACAGCACCCTGCAAGTCCTTGCCAGGCCTGGGCTGACAGGCTTTCTGACACCAGAATGGGCCACTGTATCCCGTGCACAACGTGGCTTGTTTCCACCCGTCCACCAAGCAGGCATTATTTTTATGAGCTTGTGTAACAGACCAGGGTAGAGAGGCAAACTGGGAGCGCTCAGTGATATTGAAAGCAGCCTGGGACGGTGTCAGGGGCGGCGTGGGGTGGGGGGGCCCGGCTTCCCTGCCTGAACGGACGGGGAAGTCAGTAGTGTCAAATCTGCATCCTTCGTCCCTCGTATTCTCCTTTTTTTTTTTTTCCAGGCAAACAATAAGAAATCATTGAAATTAAACAGTAGAAGGACAGTGAGCTCACTGGGCATAGGGGATTGAACTTATTTTTTTTTAAGATTTTATTTATTTATTTGAGAGACAGAGAGCTAGAGAGGGAGCACGAGCAAGCAATGGGGAGGGGCAGAGGGAGAGGGAGACTCCCCACTGAGCAGGAAACCTGAAGGGGCTCCATCCCAGGACTCCAGGATCATGACCTGAGCCGAAGGCAGACGCTTCACCGACTGAGCCACCTAGACACCCTGAATTTAACCGGCAACATAGTGACAGGAACTATTTGATGTTCTGGACAGACTTCGAGAGGATGTCTTCCCTCCAGGCCATGTGATCGCTTTATTCCAATAATACATATTTCAAAACTAAGTCATTCCCCACCTCTTGCATTCTAGTCTATAGTCTGGCTTACGTGATTTCCTTCCTTCCTCTCTCCCCAACAAAAGGACCCTGCATGTGGTCTAGTCTGGTATACGACAACCACTTCTGGAATATTCCTGAGAGGTAGAGATAAAACCTCTGACCACAAGTTACAATAGATGTTATTAACACTCCTCTGTAAATCATACCATAATTTAATCCCAATACATTGATCTGCAGATCTATTAGGATAAAGTCTAAACAGTGGGATACTTAAAAATTTCTTCTCAAAGTGAGTGAAGTAGGTGATGGGGATTCAAGAGTACATGTATCATGATGAAAAAGAAAATAAAAATGTATTTTTTTCAAAAGATTTTTATGTATTTATTTGAGAGAGAAAGAGAAAGAGCAGGGGGAGAAGCAGACTCCCCACTGAGCAGGGACCCCGATGGGGGGCTCAATCCTGGAACTCCAGGATCATGACCTGAGCCCAAGGCAGATGCTTAACCAACTGAGCCACCCAGACACCCCTAAAAATGTGTCCTTAATGTTAAGTCAAACGTGGCCTTCCTGTTTGTCTTATGGGTTTTCATGCTATTCTCTAAAGCAAAAGACAACAAAATGGTCCCTTCTTCTGTGGGATGGATGAGCGAGCTCTTACACTCTTGATGGGCATATAACCCATTTCCCTAAATCATCTCAGGTTGAACATCTGTTCCCTTCAGTTGCTCTTTAAAAGACATATGTCTCAGACCCTAAAGTCTGCCTCCCCAGCATCTAGCAGGCACCCAACAGATGCCAGGTCCTCTTTCTAAATGTAATCAATCTTGCTATTCCAGATTCTCCATGTCTCGCTAGACTCAGCTGTAATACCCGGAATATCACCTGTGGACCAAAGATTACCCTGGGACTGTCACCGCCCTTTCCAAGGAGTGCAGCTGAAGACTACTGCTGCTTGCTTGTTTGGCTCCGTTGTTTTGTTTTGATACTCTCAGCCAGATCGCCCTGAATCTAGAATGACCTTGACTCACCTGTAAACCCCCGGGTCTTTACCCTATGAACAGATGCCATGTCAGCTTTTCGGTAAGTTGCTCTTCTGCAGTTGACGGTGTGAACCTATATGCCCAACTGTATGTGTATCAGTTCAGTTTCATATTACTGCTCATTCTGGGCAATTAAAACCCTGATTCTGTTTCTGCTGCATTAGACATTCCTTCCATTGTGCTCATCATGCTTTGCGTTCCTTCCTGGGAGGTAGGTTCTTGCTACTTTTGTTGCTGTGGCTTTAGGAGGGCAACCGACATTGAAACGAGCCAGGTGTTGCCCAAGAAATGATCACCCGTCTTAGGAATGTCTATTTCTCCATGGACAGAGCCTCAGCCTTATGTATGTCCCATGGAGCAGCATTTTTCTTTGTGTTACAGTCTTCTGACCACTTCGCTTGTGTTTTGTTATGATGTTTTAATTCTTTTTTGGGCTTGCCTGTCTGGATTACATTTATTACTCTGTCTCAGGGCTCTTCATGTTCCCAGGAAAACTTCTGAGACAATGAGGTAGTTAGTCATTGTGCTCATCAGCGCTAAGGAACACGTAAAGTCTCACCCAACACCTCTTCCGCTTCATAATACACTTTGGAGAAGCAGCATCTTCGAGAACAATTCCACAGTAGGCGTCCTCAGGGTCATGGCAAACAGCCTCTACTGTTCTGTTCTCATTCTTTCTCCAGACGGCCAGACAGGCTCCATGTGGCTTCGTACAGTTGCTCAATGCAGGATATCCAGTTGTCGCCACGTTTACACGTTTGCGGGAACCTGAGGACACCATTGCCGTTGGTGACCATCATGTCATTGTTAATAGACTTCTGAATGTGCGGTGGGACCATGCCAGTGATGTGCATCCACAGGACCATGTTCTGCAGCCCCCAACCCATGGCGGACCCCACGGCTCGTCCTAGACCAAGCACCTAGCTCTGGCAGATGTGCAGGCCAGATGTGGCGCCGGGCTCTCGGCTCTCCAGAGAGAGGGGGCCTGGAGGCCTGCGGGGTATGGGGAAGCCTCCAGTGGCCAAGGGGAGCTTCGCAAGAGGCTGACCTCATCACCCCTATTCTTAAAAATAGGACGAGGTGAGAGCATTACCCAAGTGCCAGTAGCAACACAATGTTCTGGAACTTTCCCCCCTTTCTGGGACCTCTGCCCCATTCTTTCAAGAAAAAGAGAACAGTGCTTAAAGTGGCCTTCGTGGCTCTGAAACTTCTTCCTCCCTTCTGTCTTCTTTTTGTTGGTGTTCCTGTCCCAATCTCGCAGCTAGGGCAGTTCTGGCCTCCTCGTCCTTCTTTTCCTTCTTACTCAACTAGGGAGTGACTGGAGGGGTCTCCTCACCTTCACTCTTACATTTCTCTTCCCTTTGGGGACATTTACTGCTTCTGCAACCACCTCTCTCTGCAGAACCTGTGGAATAGGAGATGTGGCCATAGGTCAGATTCTCTGACCGGCTTTCCATGGAGGTATCATTGCACCCTCCGTGGATCCGATATGTGTCCAATCCAAAGTCTCCACTAAAACACTGGTGCTGGACAGGACTCACCACTTACGGTGGCAGACGGACTCCCTCTAGGTCCCCACAAGCCGGACCAGAAGGAATTAACTGTTTGCTGTCTTTTTCCTTTCTATTTTGATATGCTCTCACATTTTCAAGGATGTTACATGCCTTGTGCAAAGAAAGAACTCTTGTGCCCCCTTTACTGGGAGTCTTGGATCAGTAACGCTTGTCACATTTGCTTTCTCTGTATAAAGATGCAGACGGAGAAGTAGACGTAGGTACAGGGAGTTAGAGGTATTTTTCTGAACCATTGGAAATTAGGTGCAGACACCATGCCTCTCTACCCCTAACTATCTCAGTGTATTCCCTAAGAACAGGACGTTTTCTTGTGGATCCACAGTATAATGTTTAAAATTGGTAAGTGTAACATCAAAGCAGCACTATGATTTAATTCACAGTTCACATTAAATGTTGTCAATTGTCCCAATCATGTCCTTCCTGGCTCTTTCTGCCTCCAGGCCAGGGTCAAATCCAGGAGCACGCATTGCACTCAGTTGTCTCATCTCTTTAGCTTTCTTTGGCAGGGGGCATTTCTTTATCTTTCATGATCTTTTTTTTTTAAATTGTATTTATTTATTTTAGAGAGAGACAGAGAGAGCATGAGCGGGGGTAGGGGCAGAGGGAGAGGGAGAAAACAGGCTCTCCATTGAGCAGGGAGCCCTACGTGGGGCTTGATCCCAGGACCCTGGGATCATGACCTGAGCTGAAGGCAGATGCTTAACCGACTGAGCCACCCAGGCACCCCTATCTTTCATGATCTTAACCTTTTTTTTTTTTTTTTTTTTTAAGAGTAGGGGTAGGTTATTTAGTGGAACGTCCCTTAATCTGCATTATACAAGCTGGCTTCTGTATCCTTTGGAAAAGTCCTCATCATTTTTCAAACACTTTCTTACTTTTTTGGCATAAGAAAATGTTCCAGGGTCAGTCTTCCAGAATTTTCCCAGAAGCACTATTCTGCCCTGATTCCTGCAGAGAAACCTCCACTCCCAGAGTCGTGAAACCTCATGCCCACCGGCCTGGTCCTTATGGACTCCCCCAGCCTGAAGCTTAGACACCCCCACCTCCAGTTCCTGCTCCCACACTTCTCTATTGTTAAGGTGACAAGGAGGCCATGGAGTGCCAGCTCAACCCTTCCTGGCTGGGCTTTCTTGGGTTCCTGGCTTATGTCTCAGTTTCTTCATCTGCAAAATGGGGTTGGTAGTACTCTCTATCTCGCAGGGCTGTTGTGAAGATAAAATGAGACAGCACTTAGCCCAGTGTCAGGTAGGAGGGAAATGCTTGCAAAGGAAGGTTGTCAGCCTTCACGGGTCTGCCCATAAAGCCTCTCCTGACCTCCCAGCTCCCACCTCCAAGGAAAGAGGCCTCCAGGCACTCTGCCAGAGGTGAGTCCAGGAGGGTCTATTCCATGGGTCTGCCCCTTACTCAGTCTGGAAGTGGTACAGGGAGGTCCTGAGCCTGAGTGCAATTCTGGCTGACCCCCCCCCCATACACACACCTGTTTCCCTTGCCTTCCACTCCCCATTGCACACCTTCTGATATATATATATATATGGTGTGATCTACCAATCCATGTCTCAGGCTGTTTTAAAAATACCTAGCAACGCGTTGGGAGTGTTTTTAAATGTTTGCATAAATGGCGCCAGGCAATAAACCTCATTCTTCTTCTGCTCATCACATGTGAGGCTCTCTGACCTTCCATGAACTGTCCCATTGTGGTTATTCATCCATTCCCTGGGGAGGTGGTAGTGGTGGGGAGAGTCACCTATGACCTCCCTCTTCCTCCTCCACAACATCCTTGTGGACGCCTCAAAGAATTTGTTTGGGGTACTTAATTTCCCCCGTTGCCTGCTTGACTTCCAGAACCACTGCCCCAGTTTTAAGGGTGTGGGCACGTTTTCTTGGAGGTCTTTCCTGGCCATATGGGTGCCTAAGCCTCTCCAGGGCTCAATGTCCCTAAATGAACATAGGCACAGCGGTCCTGACCCACACAGCGTTGTGAGGGTGACTGCAAAGAGCACTTAGCACAGTGCCTGTGCCTACTGTCCCGGCTGTCATCCCACCCCCCAGGACTGGCCAGTCGATGGTGCGTCTGCCCCAGAGGAGCAGCAATCAGAGCAGAAACAGCTCTGTGGGTCCTCGCATCCAAGGGCCTCAGAGTATGCAGGCAAACTGCAGCCCAGAGAGAGTAAGGAGTTTGGGCAAAGTCACATGGCTCGTGGCAGCGGACTCTGGCTGTCCTTGGTACCTGAACCAGCACAGCTGCAGAATGAAGTCCGGCTTGACTCCAAAGGCCAGGTGTTGTGCCAGGTGTCTGCCACTTCCTGGCTAGCACTTGCCTTCAGGGCCCGTCCGTTTCCCCATCTGTAAAATGAGGGCGGGAATAATGCTTCTGCTACCAGCGATCAGACGGAGAGCCGGTGCCACTGCCCCGGGGCCGGTCAACCCGCAGTCGCGGCCCGTGATCCGCCCCCCAGCGGGCGTGTGCGGGCGACGCCAGGGTACACCCCCCACCCCGCGCCAGCGAGCTGGCACACCTGGGGGGCGGGGCGTCGCGGCCCGGGGACCTCATTGGCTGCGGCGGCGGGTGACGCAGCGTGGGGCGGGGCGGGGGCGCGTGGGGCGGGGCCGGGTTCCCGCCCGAGCCTTTCATCTGGGCCGCACTTCCGCTCGCTCCTCCAGCGCGGACTGCCCCGGCCGGCCTCACCGCCATGCGCTGCTACGAGGACGAGGGCAGCTGGAGCCTGTCCTTCTCGGGCGCCGGCTTCCTGGGGCTCTACCATGTGGGCGTAACCCGCTGCCTCAGCGAGCGCGCCCCGCACCTCCTCCAGGGCGCCCGCCGCTTCTACGGCTCCTCGTCCGGGGCGCTCAACGCCGTCTGCCTCGTCGTGGGCAAGTCCGTCGGTGCGTGGGGGACGGCGCGGGCTGGGGGGGGCGGGGCGTGGGGGGCACGCGGGCTCCACGCCGGAGGGAGGGCGTGGAGAGGGGCGTGCCGGCGCTCTGCCCTGCGCCCTTTACATCCAGCATGATCCCATGGGACACTCATAAGAACCCTGAGGAGTATGGTTACTCTCGTTTCGCAGAGGACTGATCGGAGCTGGGGAGGCTGTTTCCAAGATCAGAGGGTGGACAGAGCGTTTGAACGTAGGGCTGGGACAGATATTCTGAGCTGGAGAAGGGAAGACGGTCCACTCCCATGGTACCCGGGAGGGAGGTCAAGTCTTTTGGACGGATGTGGGCAGGCCCCCTGGGTGACTGAGGACCCTCTCCTCTCCCCATGCGCACAGATTTCTGCTGCTCCCATCTCCTGGGCATGGTCAAGCAGGTGGAGCAGGTGAGCCTGATCATCTTCCACCCCGCCTTCGCACCCATTGAGCACATTAGGCAGCAGTTGCAGGACAGCCTGCCTTCCAACATTCATATCCTGGCCTCCCAGAAGCTGGGCATCTCGCTGACCCGATGGCCCGATGGCCACAACATCATAGTCACCAACTTCACAACCCGCGATGAAGTCATCCAGGTGAGCATGTGGTGGCAGGTGAGTGGGCTCCATCTCTATGGTGACTTCCAGGTGCTTCCCAGAGGCAGACACTCCTTTCAGGGAGGTGGGGGGTGTCACTTGAGGCTTGGGTTTGTTTATAAATGAGAGAGTAGCGGTACAGAGGGGCCAGAAGGTGAGGACGGAGACTCCCATCTTGCTTTGGGAAGGCCCCTCGGCTGGACACAGAAGGGAATGGCTGAGGAGGGGGCAAAGTCCAGCTTCTGTACTCAGGGCCCCTGCTTTTCCAGAGAGGCGCCTGCCCACAGTGGATTAGGAAACAATCCAGGATTGTTATAAAACAGGAGGTCGTGACAGAGAGCCACACGGTCAGGGAGGGAGGCCAGTGACAGGCTCTGGGAGTGGTCAGGTGGACCAAGTAGGGATTAGGTCCCTGGGAGGGCTCAGGCAGGTAGGGAGACAGGGAGGGAGGCCCGGAGCTCTGCTCCCCATTCTTATCAGGGTCTGTGCCTTCCACTCAGACTGGGGTCCGTGATGCAGAATCTGCTTCATCTTGCTGACCCCAGCACCCAGCGTGGGGACTATCTCTGGGTCTGTGATGATCGGGATTCTCAGTGTGTGCAGGAGAGGAGCCAGTCCCTTGGCGCGAGCTGATGTCCATGGGCTCTCGATGAAGCCAGTTAGGGACCCTAAAGGTTATCCCAGCATCTTTGCCTGTATGGCACATAGCACAGGGCCAGGCACATAATAGGTGCTCAGTAAACATTAGCTGCTGTCACCGTTATCATTAATCTGTGGGAATGAGGCTCCCGCTTGCATCTCCAACTGGTTAGAGCCAGGATGAGTGCTGCATCTCCCAGAGAGGTTTGGAGGGATATTTCCAAGTAGACTGCAAGTCAAGGTTCTATGCTCCATGAGTTTGGTAAGCCCTAGGTCAGTGGTTCTCAACCAGGGGTGATTTTTCCCCCTAGGAACATTTGACAACATTGGAGGCATTTTTGGTTGTCACAATTCTGTGTCTGTGTGTGTGTGTACAAAGTACTGACACCTAGTGGGTAGAAGCCAAGGATGCTGCTAAGTGTCCCACCATGTCCAGGACAGCTGCCTGCCACACCATCCCTCACTTCCAAGACAGGACTCTTGAGCCCCAAATGTTAATATGTTAAGCATCTTTTTCATTGCTGGACTTGTCAGAGACTCTACGGGGAAGAGTGGATGGTGTTTTCCAAATGGATAAAGAAATCAGCGTTTCTTTTTTTTTTTTTAAGATTTTATTTATTTTATGAGAAAGAGCGTGCACGAGCAAGGCGGGGGAGGGGCAGAGGGAGAAGCAGACTCCCCGCTGAGCAGGGAGCCTGATGCGGGACTCGATCCCAGGACTCTGGGATCATGACCTGAGCCGAAGGCAGACACTTCACTGACTGAGCCACCCAGTCGTCCCAAAGTCAGGGTTTCTTATTTGAGATGCATCTGGTTGGATCAATGTCCAGGGAACACACTTTGGGAGGCATACCTAGATTGTTGGTGAAGAATTCCTGCCTGCTGGGTGATGGATAAAT